CCAGACATTAAAATAGCAGTAAGATAGGTTCTACATGCCTCAAAGAGCTACAATAAGAATTATTTTCTGAAAATTAAATAATAATGAATACGAAAGTGCTAAATAAACTATATGGGATTATACCAATATAAAAGGATTATACCAAAAGGATCACCTTGAATTGATACCAAGTGGATTTACTTTTCAAAGATCTAACATAAAATGTTTTTAAGAGGAATTCCAGAGGTTGGAGAAAGTGAATTCTAGGCCACAACTCCAAATTCACGAAATGAAAACTTCTCAAGTCATTCTAAATGATTATCTATTATAATGATAGATAAAAAGCATTACCAAATGTCATTCAGCCAAACAATTGGAAGAGAGAAAGGAAGAGAGACTGAGATTCTAATTCCTAGAGTGTAATAGCAGAATAATTTCAAAAAACATCTTAGTAAAATAGTATATTAGTAAAGCTGGAAAATTTACTTACTTTGCTATCTACCAAAACCAGAAAAAGAACTACACTCTGTTCTGTCATCAAAGTCTAAGGCTTGGTTTTCTTGTTTTTGTTGTTTTGAGGGTTTTTGTTTGTTTTTGTTGGGTTTATTTTTTGTTTCTTAATTTGAAGCAGACAGGGCACCCAGATTACAGGACAAACAATGCTAAAGGCTAGGACTTTAAAGACCCAGAGAAAAATTGCACTATCTTACTGTTCTCATCAGTTGAATAGAAGTTTATGGGACAAAATTGTAAATACATATCAAAATCATTTCACAAAAATGAAACAGACAGTTAACACTGTAAAATCTCTAGGAAAACAAAACTTAATAAAAAATAGATATGGGCTCATAAGCCTACAGTACTGGATACAAGAAAAGCATTTGGAAACACAGGGGTATTCTAAGTTAGCTATGGAAACACAAGTTGTTATAAAATCACTGAAAAGTATGAGAACAATGGAAGTCAAATAAAAGGACTCTGAAGCCCAAAGAGCTACTAAATGGGAAAAAAAACACGCCCCACTTTTAAGTGTGCCAAAGCCCTTTAGAAAAAGGTTATTAGCAAAATGTGTCATAGAAGAAAATTATAAATATGGGTATCACAAAATTACAAGTTGATACGTACAACATCTGGGTACTTTTCTACTTTCACAGTCAGAATTTAAAAATGAGAAAGCAAACCCCAGAGATCATATACATAGTAGCAAGGTGAGAAATGTAATTGGTAACTTCAAGATAGCAGTGGTCAAACAAATCCCACACTAAAAAGCTCAAAATACGGGTATAGGAGGGTGACATTAATTCAAATATGTAGGTTGAAGCAGCAGCCACAGAGTCTAAGCAGTAGCTGAAAACCTAGAGAACATGTGCCCAGATAAGCAAGTGTGCATTGCTGTGTTTACCTATTCAGTTCTACAAACACCACCGAGTTCCCATGTGTCGGAGATCCTGCTGGGTGCTTCTGTGGATAAAGAAATGAGTCAGGCAGCCTCTGCAGCCAAAAGTTCAGGGTCTACTGGAGCAGACAGGTGCATATACAAACAAATCTATTAAAAGGCACACTATGATAAGAATTGTATGCGATGCATAAGGAGGTTATGAGGTCGTATAGAACAGTTGTCATTTGTCACTAGAATATAGTGCAAGGTTCTGGATAACTCTAGAGTTAGAAGGGACTTGAGGTTTGGTGCTAATTCTGCTCTGAGCAGAATATGCATCTCTGAGTAAAGAACTAAAACACTCATGAGGCTAAAGCTTTTACATTTACACCAGAAACAGCAGCACTGTGTGATTTCTATTAGTTCTAACTTTCTGTCTTCATGATTGAGCTTCTTGGTGGTCAACTTTTAAGCAATAGATTAAAATATTTTAAGAGCTGGAAATTGGAGGACAAGCATTTACTCAAAGCAAAGAAAGCATGAGCTGAGGCATAAGAAACAGGAGCTGGTATCACCAATCCACCCGGCAAGCAAAACCTAAGCTACCTATGATCTTGGGATTTCAGGAACATTCTAGATTAAAAAAAAAAAATGTAAAGATATAAACTTTTAAAATGTATACAAATGTAAACAAAAAATAACATTAATTATAAAAATGTTTAGAGTAACAGAGAATGCACCTATAACATTTAAATTAAACATAAAGTAAAAGCAAATCCTACACTTCCAACAAATATCCAGGGTCATAATATACAGCAGAGGAAGACACGTAGCTTCTATTTTAAAAAGAAGTCTAAATATACATGGTTCCCCATATTTGTCTTGCATGTATATATTAAAGGGAAATATCTTTTTTTCAGATTCAGGAAAGGTTATACTGGAGAGAAAGAGAGAGAGAGAGAGAGAGAGAGACAGACAGACAGACAGACAGACAGACACTGGAGAATTGCAAGAAAAAAACAAAACTTCAGAAAACAAAAGGCTGAGACGCTTGACATGAAGATGCCACATTCCAAACTCCTTATTGCAAGGGAGTATTACCGAGCAGTACACTCACCCATCCAGCATCCGCCATCCATCCAAATACATATACATACATAAGAACACACAGACATACATTTGACCATATGCAACCATTCCTACTGAAAACATAGTAGCATAACAAGAGCTCCAAGGAACATAAGGACAAGTGAGAAACCATGTCTTGTTGCTTCAATGGGAAGCAAAGCTTATATTCGTACAAGGGAAGTAGGGAAGAATCACTATAATATAGGGCTTGGTGCCACAAGTGCTGTGAATAGAAGGGTAAGCAGCATCACATGCTGGATATGGACAACAGCCTCCGTTTACAAATTTACTAGCCACAAAATCACAGAGAACGTCACCTCTTCTAAGTTTCCCTTTACTTATGGAAGGGAAAAAAACACTTCATAGGGTTATATGGGAAGACAATAAATAATAATAAAAAAGCACAGGGCTTGGCATACACTCATGTACAATATGTAAAAGAACACAAGCAGGAGCAATTTTAAAAAGTAGTAGAAATTTGGTAGACACAGAATAAGATGTATGTGGACACCCAGGGAAGGGAGTGATTACTGCTGATCTAGACATTTTGGAGAAAGTGATACAAATAGAATTTTGACAGAAAACAGAAGTATGTGGGGTGGCATGTTGAGAAGAGGCCAAGAATTGAGAGCTGCAGGGCATACAAACGAGTCAGAGTTTACTCCAGTGTTCCTGGAGAGTAAGACAGCCATACACAGACAGGCAGGACCTGTCACAGCAGGGGAGCCACCCCCAGGCTCACTCACGGTGATTCACAGCACTAAGAGTGACAGGGGCTGAAGGGAGGACATCATAAATTTTTCTTATCCCTACCTCATGTGTGCCATTTATTAGCCCACTTAATATAGGTCCTGCCATCACCCTAACCCTCAGCATATATCGATTGTCACGCCTACAAAGTTGACTTCCTCAGACCTCTGCCTCTTGCTCTATAATTGACCATGTCTTTATTCCCTTCACATTAAATGGAAGTCCATTTTAGCTCTCCCCAAAAGTTAGAAGACAAAATAACAATGCCCCTAGTAACCTGACATGGGGACACCTTGAAAACATAAATGAGAAAGCCAACACATGGCTCCTCCTGTCCCTGTTCAGAGGGATTGATTCTCTTCCAGATCCCATTCCCAGGCCCTGCAATCACTAAAGAATGATAAGCCAAAGAAAGCCAGTTCACTAAGTCCTTGATTAATTGCAAAGATGCAGTCTCCTTCAAGGGCAATAAAACTTCAAGCACTGCTGTGGATATTAGTATAGCACTGAGGGCTCCATTTATTGTTTGTCCAGAGAAGTTTTCTAATGGTCTTGTTTTTGCCCTTTCTAGGGAAAGGGTATCCAAAGATCCATGGCCACAGTTCAGCCGTGTGTGCTGATGATGCCTGACCTTCCCCACCACTGGCCTAAGTGTCCAGTCACCTTACACACGCTAGACATCTGGACTAGGCTTCTGACTTAGGTCCTGAGATACCAACAATTAAGGGTTTACTGGGAGCAGGAGATGACTCGGAAGAAAAAATAAGGACTGAACCATATCACAGAGCATGAAGTAGTCTCTGGTAGTATTAACAACACAAACACACTAGTGTCATCTAAGAAGCAACTGGAAACATCCTGGAGAAGCTATGGTAATTTTTTAAAGGTGGGATAGGAACAGAAAACAGAAAAAGAAGGACTGGATCTCCTTTCCCTGCCTCTTCTCTCTCAGCTCCCAGAAGTCTAATGTTCTGTTTGTTATAAGTTATTGTTTCATGGGTTTGAATGAGCTGCTGACAGTGGTAATAGAGGAAAACTCTTCAACCCAAGAGCATGGCATCATTTACACCACCTGTGAAGTGTAATGTGTGAGTGTGCACACACATGAAATGCCAAGCTCATGCAGAACTTCAAACTCCACTGGATGTACACTGAATATATTGTTACTAACACCCCTGAAACTAGGCTTCACTCAGACTTTTCTATAAGCTTCAACAAATGCAGATCTCCAGAGCCCTCCAGACAACTTTATCCTACAGCAGCATTAAGGGAAGGAAAATGGCCAGAGAAGGCAAAAAAAAAAAAAAATTCTAGGCACTTTATTATGTTCACTTTGAATGGGTTTCTGATTGGACTGTTGCTTGGCAGCATTTTGGGACACTGGTCTATTGGCAAGAGGAAGGAACCACAGGGTGGGAGACACATCTTTACAAGAGAATGGGCTGGAGGTAAAGGAAAATGCAGTACCAGGGCTCTGCGCTAAGACTGAAGAGGCCAGATTACTAGTTTGGGTTCTAACCCTACTTCGATATGTAACAACAGCCACATGTCTCATATGAGGTCTTAATCTCTGTGTTCCTAAATGACAGGGTGGCCTAGATGATTTCTGGGAGCTCCTTAACCTTTGACAGTCCATACACTATGATAACCACATTGTGAATCTATAAGCTACTTTTTTCCAGCACAACTCTACACTGTAAACCACCTCTATATTACATTCAACTTTCCCACTCTGGACACCAAACTCTGAAATCCCAGCACTTACCCTCACCTCCAGGTTGCTTGTATGGGTTGTATTTGGGTTTTGGAGCAACCACTGGTGCAAACTTCTTGGGTGGCTGCTGTGTGGACACTGAAATGCTGGGGGTCCCAAAGGAATGGGTTGTCTCCATCCGTGCAGGCACATGGCCGAGGGGCTCGCCAGTGCTTTTGGGTGGCAGCCAAGATGGGTGAGACATTGTTGGAATCTGCAATTCAAAAGAAACAAACAATATTTTTGTAGAAGTACAAATATAAAAAAAATTTTTTTAAATGAGGGCGATACTTAATGAATCTTGATAAAGCTCTCTGGAAAGAAGAAGGATGAAGGGAGACAAGAAGGATAAAATAAAATGGAAGAAGGAAAAAAGAAGAGGAAGAAGATTCATCAGGAGGAGGGAGGGAGGAGGAGGAGCGGGTGGAGGAAGAGGACTCTTAGAGAAATAGATACGAATAAGCAATGGTTCCTAACTTGAAAAAGTTTCCATGGTAGAGGGTTGGATAAAAGCTTCAATTTTATTAATATTCTATTAAAACCAGTTAAATGATTATACCTACATGAGGTGTTAAGTTACTAAATGAGGTTCAAAAAACAAAAATGTTGCTGGAATGCAGAATACAAGCCCACTTCTTGGTGGGAACAGAACTAACAAGACTTCATTGAGGAGCCTTGAGTTCTCAGTAGAGGTTGGGCCTAAACAAGGTTAGCAAAGTTACGTAGGCAAAGTTAGTGTGGCTGGAGTGGGAATAAGAGAAAGTATCTAGCAAAAGAACTAGAATGTGGGATGGAACCAGAGCCCAGATAGCTCAGCATGCACACTTGAGGAATTTAAATTTAGTCTGCAGGCATTAAGGAACTATCAAAAATTTAGGAAACAGGGGCATAACAGGTAGATGGCAGGACACTTTAAAATGACCCATCCGTAGAAGCAGCTCTGCTCCCCACCAAAGGGCACTTGGAAATAGGGAAGAGGGGGATATTGGTTGCCACAATGCTTGGGACAATTACTGGCATTTAGGGCCAGAGGATAGAATATTCAACACCTGCAAGGCACAGGTCATCTTTGCACAACAAAGAAACGCCCATCAAGAGCTATGCTGAGCTGACACCACCTTGGACCTTTATGAAAAACTTACTTTAACTAGGAGGGGGACAGCTGGGACAGCCCAGATGCTGTTCTGATCAAATTGCATACACTATTTGAAGAAAGAAAAATGCTGTCTCCTCTGCTGGGGTAAGCCCATCACCCCTCCAGGCAGCCAGCCTGCTGGGATGAGCCTCATAGACTGCCGCTGAGGAGGGCTCTCCAAGCCTGATTGCAAGAGCTCTCCAGCACGGGGAGGCCCGGAAGGCACCCTGCACTTGCTCCCAGCCCCAAATCCACCTAGTAATTTATTAATTGAACTGAATTAATTAAGAGGGCTACCTGATTACCTCCAGATGTATATAAAGACAAAGAGCACCGAAAATGCAGGAAAAAAGTAAAGGTCTCAGCACTGTGCATAGCAAGAGAGAGGCAAGGTGGAAGGGGAGAGTTGGGAAACTGTTGCACAGGTATTAACATCAGTCCATGCTGGGAATGAGTGGCATGACCCTAAATGGCACCTCCTCTAGTGCTCAGATATTTCCACTTTAAAATTAAGATTAAAAAACCTAGTCCTCCTTAAGTCTCAGAGTTTTTATGACAACCAATGAGGCAATATTAAAGTGTTTTATATACCATAAAGTGCTGTACAAAGTGAGAAGAAAGAAATGCCTCTATTCTCAGAGAAAGTCATTGGGAATTATATTACCATCTTGCATGGAGGAAAACAGTTGGAGGTGTAGTTTTTCTCAACAGAAGAGGATAATATGAATCAATGATAAAGACTCTCAGCTGGGAATCAAGACACACATTTTTGAAGCCCAGGACACATGTTTTTGAAGCCAGTGATATGGTATATGCTTTTCACTGGGGTTACAGGGACCTTCTTGTCCTTGTTTTCCCCTACACCTTTTACATACATGTATGTACCTTTTACTTATACACATATAGACACACACACACACATACACATACACATTTACTAAGCTATGAGTTCCTTAAAAGGGGAAGGACCATATTTTACATATCTCTAAACCATCATCAAGACCTAGCACAAAACCAATACAAAAAAACAACCAATGAATGTCTCTTTTACTCAAGGTTTATAAATCTGGTTGCAAATGTGGAATCATTTGAGAACATTTTTTCCTCAATAACAAAATCAAGCCCATCTTTCAGGATGGAAAAACACCAATTTTGGCTTTTTTTTTTAAATTTCAGCATATTATGGGGGTACAAAAGACAAATGTTTAGGTTACATATCTTGCCTTTGCCCCACCCTCGTCAGAGCTTCAAGCGTGTCCCATCACACGGACGGTGCACACCACACCCGATAGGTGTGAAAATACTCATTCCCTCCTCTCCTTTCCCTCCTCTCCTTTCCCTCCTGCCCTTTCACACCCAGTGAAAGTTACTGCTGTATGTGCACATAAGTATTGATCAGTTAATATCAATTTGATGGTGAGTAAGTGTAGTGCTTGTTTTTCCACTCTTGTGATACTTCACTTAGTAGAATGGGCTCCAGCTTTTTCCAGTATAATACAAGAGGTACTATATCACCATTGTTTCTTAAAGCTGAGTAGAACTCCATGGTATACATATACCACATTTTATTAATCCACTCATGTATTGATGGGCACTTGGGTTATTTCCATATCTTTGCAGTTGTGAATTGTGCTGTTATAAACATTCAGTGCAGATGTCTTTTTTATACAATGTCTTTTTGTCCTTTGGGTAGATGTCCAGTAATGGGATTGCTGGATGAAATGGTAGTTCTACTTTTAGCTCTTTGAGGTATCTCCATATTACTTTCCACAGAGGTTTCACTAGTTTGCAGTCCTACCAGCAGTGTATGAGTATTCTTATCTTTCCACATCCACGCCAACATTTATTGTTTTGGGACTTTTTGATAAAAGCAATTCTCGCTGGAGTTAAGTGATATCTCATTGTGGTTTTGATTTGCATTTCCTTGATTATTAGAGATGTTGAGTATTTTTTCATCTTCTCAGATCACAGTGGAATAAAATTAGAAATCAACTCCAACACAAACTCTCAGGTCTACACAAAGTCATGGAAACTAAACAACTTTCTACTGAACAATTATTGGGTTAAGGAGGAAATTAAGATGGAAATCAAAAGATTCTGTGAACTAAATGACAAAGGAGATACAAGTTATTAAAATCTGTGGGATACATCTACAGTAGTCCAGAGAAGAAAATTTATAACCACAAATGCCTACATCCAAAGGACAGAAAGATCACAAATCAACAATCTAACAAATCATCTCAAAAAACTGGAAAAGCATGAGCAAACCAACCCCAAACCCAGCAGAAGAACAGAAATAACAAAGATCAGACCAAAACTAAATGGAATTGATAACAACAAAAAAACCCCTATACATTAGATTAATAAAACAAGTTGGTTCTTTGAAAAAATAAACAAAATTGACGTGCCTTTTGCTAGATCAATGAGAAGCAGAAAAGAATAATAATCTAATAAGCTTAATATAAGCTAATAAACTCAATCAGGAATGAAAAAGGAGAAATTGCAACTGATACCATGGAAATACAAAATATTATCTATGAATACTATAAAAAATGTCTATGCACATAAACTTAAAAACATGGAGTAAATGGACAAATTCTTAGAAACACAGAGCCTCCCTAAGCTCAATAAGAAAGAAATAGAACTCCTAAACAGACCAATATCAAGTACTGAAACTGAAGCAGCAATAAAAAACCTTCCTAAAAAATAAATCCCAGACCATCAGATGGTTTCACACCCAAATTTTACCAGACCTACAAAGAAGACCTGATGCCTATCCTGTAGAAATTATTCCACAACATCAAGAAGGAAGGAATCCTCCTCAATACATTTTATGAATCCAACATCACCCTGATACCAAAACCAGGAAAGGATGCAACAACAACAACAAAAGAAAACTGCAGACCAATATCCCTTATGAATATAGATGCAAAAATTCTCAACAAAATCCTAGCAAACTGAATCCAGGTGCTTGGCTTTTTGTTTTTAATTGAGGCTTGGTCCGCGACTAAATGGGGATAATAGTGACTCTTTTGCTTTCAACATGACTAAAGTGAATATACGTGTGGACTAAGTGGGATCAAATTAAGGTTTGAAAGTTTCAATGCACTGTGCACATTTGCAGCAGAAATCCTAACTGTACAATTTCAAAATGGTTAATATTGTCCTTGTAAATTTTCTGTAAATCTAAAATTATGCAAAATTAGAAACTTTAAAAAATGGGTTGATATAGGATGCAGTGATTTCTAAAGGAAAGATGCACATGCACAAAACAATTCCAAGTTACTGACTGTGACACCTTGGCCTTTTCAGATATGCCATAGATACATAGGAACAGGCAACCACTGGAATCGTATAAAAATGAAAACCTAAGCATAAATATGCAAAGCACTGATTCCACCATCATTTCAGTTATGCCTAGCATCATAAATTAGGCTGACTCTCCCTTCCCCAGGAATGCACCTCCAGCTCCACATCCTGCAAAGGCCATCTTCTACCCAATTATCTGTTTTCAGATGAGCTTTTTAAGCATCTTTTCTTGCCATTCTTCTGTTTGTCAACAGTGACCCACGAAACCAGTCCCAGGACTTATAATAAACTTTCATGATTCTAAACCCTTGCTCATGCTGTGCTCAACATTAACAATGTCATTTCTCTCCCTGCATTTTCTATCAACCCTATATTTTTCTTAATATATTGCCCCAGTTCAAATGCCTCTGAATCTGTGAACATTTTCTTAACCTTCTCCAAGAAGAATAGCTTAATTCCTTTTCTGGGCTCTTCTAGTACTTTTCTCATAACAGTCCACATGAAAGCTATTTAATCACCTGCCTATATGCCCCAGTAAACTGAAAGCTCATGGGTAATCTCCCAATACCAGCACAATGCCTAGCCAAGAAACCCTTACAAATATTATCTTATGGAGAAATGGGTGAATGAATGAATGCTGCTCTCCTTTAGTTATTCATGCCTTTCTACAATGTCCATAGCATTCACTGATAGCATTATCTTCTTTTCCCTTCCTTAATTTGGTGATATAATGAATCATGTTGATAGATTTCTAGATATTGAACCATCTT